CAGATTTTTAAAGAAACAACAGTAACTATTTTCTTTAAATGTAATATTTCCAAGTGGTATTTCCAAGTCAGGTGACTGGGTGGGCAGGCTGGAGCCCTACAATTGTCCCCTGTTGCTTTCCTCTCATGCCACATCATCACAAAGGTGGGACTGTTACTCTGTTGCTCTCTGCTTACAATAGATGACAGAAGTTGAAATTTTGCCACAAGGAAAACTAATTCCAGCCAGTGCCCTCTTCACCCTTGTTAATGACCAAGTAAACAGAGCTCATGGAATAAGGGTCTCTTCCTTTGTATACCAAAGATGCTTGGGCATAAAATATACCCAAGACGGAATACTGTTAATAGTTTTTGCTTTTTCCCTTGGTTACATTCAATAGACTCATGAATACTTATGAATATGGTTATTTACTATGCAACTAAAAGGCATGAACAGTGCTCAAACTGATTAGGACTATTGTGAGAGACAGTCTTCCTTCCACTTTTTGAGATTTCCATACACTGAAATCTATAGGGGAATCACATGAAACGGGACTCCTCCCTAATTATTCCCTGTGCTAATAAGTAGTTGCTTCCAGGCTCTCAAGATTCTGGCTTGAAAAAAAACAGAAAGCTTGGAAATGTGTGAAGATTGCCATCTAGTGGCTGTAATGTGAAGTGTCACAAACTATCAGAAAAGCCATGTCTTTTGTTCCTCACAAACATCATTAACCAAGTCTAAAAAGGTGAGAAATTGCCCTCATATTCCCTCTGTCACGTCCAAGGTCTCTGAAGACACTCTCTCCCGATGGAGCTGTCGGAGTTGGTGGAATTTCAGGACGTGTTAGATGAGAAGGCAGCATCGTGGGGGAGCCCAGGGATCCATAAAGGGTGCCCCTCTCATCACACATCATAGGTGGCTTCCTGCAACATCTGAGCACAGGGCTGGTTAGCCTGAGAAGTCAGTGCAGTGACATGTGGAGCCTCACCTCTGCCCCCTCCCTCTATCCTTCTGTCCAGTAAGACGTCAGGTCTGGTTGGTATGGGTTGAATTATGTCCCCCAAAAAGACATGTTGAGGTTCTAATGAACTAACCCCTGGTACCTCAGAACAAGGCCCGGTTTGGAAACAGGGTCACTGCAGACAGGATTAGTTAAATTGAGGCGTGGTCACACTACAGAAGGATGGGTCCCTGACCCAACATGCCCGGCGTCCTTATAAGAGGACAGTCACTCTGGGGAGACAGACACAGGGAGAACACCATGACCATGAGGCAGAGATTGGATTTATGCAGCTGCAAATCAAGGGATGCCAAACACTGCCAGCAAACTGTCATATGCTCAGAATCCACAAAGAAGGACTCCTCTACAGGTTTCAGAGGGAATATGGCCCTGCTGACGTCTGGAGTTCAGACTTCTCTAGTCTCCAGAACTGGGAGACAGTCAACTTCTGTACAAGCCCCCGGTTTGTGGTTCTTTGTTATGACAGCCAAGCAGATGGGTACACCTGGCCTTTCACCGCCAGTGCCTCCTTCAGGCTGCCACACGCTCTCATTTTCCAGACGAGCACGTGTGGTCGTCCTCAGTGGCTGGCTGCTCATCTCTCCCCTGTTCAGTTCACCCTTCACAATGCCAGAGTCATCTTTTTAGAATAGAATCCTGATTCAGTCACTCTTGTGTGCTCAGTCACTCTTTCTGTGTCCTATAGAAACCAAACGTCTTGGCCAAACATTCAAACTCCCATTGATCTGGTTCCTTCCATTTCACTTTGGTATTTTACTCAGGTACTTCAGCCACATTGCACCAGGTGCTGCCATCCCCACCTTCTCCCTTTCCCACTTCTGTGGTTACGGTACTTGTCCCCCTTGTCTTTGTCAGGATCAAACAGTAGTACTTCTTGCAAAGAAAAGTCTTCTTCCATTTGTCTCCAGCAAGAATTCTAGGAATTCCCAACCACTTCTCAATTCTCTGAATTCTTATAGCTCTTAGCCTTTACCTTTCTGATGACATCTTGCCTTTTCCATCATGTGTTATAATTAATTACAACTTCCTGATGCCTCAAGTCACTCAGCGGTCAGTAAGCTTTCCGAGTAGGGACCATCCCTGAATGCCCTCAATGCTCTACATGTTGAAGAAACACGATTGGATAAGTGATGCCCTGTAAGGAATGACTGAATAAACGTTGCACTTTCTTCAGTGTCTAGGGAATGGTCAGACATTTCTTCACTTCATCTAATACCTTGCTCTCCTGCAACCTCCCTGTTCTGGCCACAGTGGCCTTTTTCAAGTTCACCTATTTGATATGCTCCTCCTGCCCCAGTGCCTTTGCACACGTCGTTCCTTCTTCCCAGAACTCTCATCCCTGCCCAAAACATCTGGTTAATTTCTTCTTCTCCTTGATATTTCAGCTCAGTCATCGCTTCCCCAATTAAGGTTTAGTTCATCTTTCTGACTGGATCAAATTCCCATTGTGTGAACTCCCTTGGCACCACAAATCCCTATTGTGTTACCTCTTACCTGCAACACTGACCGCACACGCCCCTTTAACATTTCTGGACATGATAATTTGGTTAATGTCCATCTTCCCTGCAAAACTGTAAGCTCCATGAGGACAGAGACAGCTGGAAGAGAATCTGCTTTAGATCACCACTGTATGCCTCTCATATCGTAGATGTTCAATAAATATCTGTGGAGAAAACAAATGAATAGTTGAGTGTATCTGCATGTACGTATATGTAAACAGTCTATTAAAATTTTCCAGGCAAGCCTAAGGTAGGCAATAGTTATAACATCTATCATTTGGTACCTAGTACCTAGTACTACGTGCTAGGCACGGGGCCTAATCCTTTACTGTGTGCTCTCTCCTTATCCTCGTTACCCTCATGCTATCCTCATTTTCAGGAAAATGATGCTATGAGTTAGCAGTTGTCCCTGTTTTACAGATGAGCATGATTCAAATAAATAATTCTGCCCAAGATCACAGAGTTGTTAAATAGCAAACCGATGATTGAATACCAGTGCTCATATTAAACACCATGCCAGAATTACAAAAGAATATCAAACATATTATTCTTGATCCTTTTTGAATACACATGATAAACATAGAAGACTGACCAAATAGCACTACATCCTTCCAGTCATACTGTTTATTAAATTGTGGATTTCTCAATAGCAAAACGATATATTTCTCAAGGGGCTGTATCTTGTTTACCACAGAAGACCCATCAGCTGATACAGGGCCTGGCACACAGTAGGTGTTCGGTATATATTTGAACTTGAAACAAAGTTTGTCACATCCAAGAAAAACAAAACACATATAGCCAGAGCCAAACATCTGCTTTGGAGAAAGCAAATAAAGGAGTAAGAAAGGGATAAGAAAGAAGATAGGGTACAAAAGGTATTGAGCACCTACTGTACACCGGCATGCCATTTTAGATGGCTTTTTTATTATTTGAGATGTTCTCTCACTTAAACCTAAAATAACACTATGACGCCATTATATTATTCCTGCTTTGCAGATAAAAAATCTGATGCTCAGTTTTAAACTCAGGGCTATGTGGTTCCACAGTCTATAGGATGGCTAACCTCAACACAGATTGACAACATCACAGATAGGTGAGGGTTTCCAGGTCAAGGTCACCAACCCCCTGCCTGGGAAGCTCCCAGAATGACTGTGTGATAGTGCTCAGAAACCCATTCTCCTGACTAACTTGAAAGATGAGGCCTTACATGAGCCACAGGACTCATCACTTCCATTTTTGTTGATTTTATTTTCTGTTGGCAGTTATTTTTGCACATGACTATTTCATAGTTCTTTGAACTGAAAACTCTTGAGGAAAAAAATAATGACTTGCTGAAATGGAAGTGCCATCCGGCTCCTGATTTCTTCCGGAACAATCAGTCAACCCTTTTAATTTACTTACTGCAGTGAATGTCCGAAGGTCCAGATCCCTCCACAGTGATAAACAGAAAGAATAACAGTGAAAATGAGTAGGAATAACAACCAGAGAAAATTGAATCAATGGCATTGAGCCCCATAATAATGCTGAACTACAAAGTTTATGAAATGTGGAGCAATGGGGAACTCAATTTCACATTGACTAAAACTTAAGATCCAGTGTGATGTTGCATCCTCTGCAGGGCCTGGGGGTGGAATATGGGGTGGGGGGCGCATGAGATTCATGTTTAACAAAAAGAACAAATCCGGTTTAAGCAAAGAGGAAAGAGTAAGACAGCAGAAGGACCACCATCGCTCTCAAAACATGCAAAAGGCTTCTCTGGGCACCTTACAGCCGTTCCAAACGTGGTCCGCAGGATGGCCACCAGTCTCCGGTTCAAAAAAGATGAAGACCAGCCACAAGATGATGGATTCCAAGTATTAGGGCAACCAAGGCTATATTCTTGGGAACTGTGTTTTCTTGAAAGATGCCCCGAATTCAGCATTGTGTACATTCCTCAGGAATATGTTACCACCTGATCGTGTGAGAAATTCTGTGTGATATCTGGGTGGTCTCTTACAAAGACCCTGAACCCCATGTCTTGAAAAAGGTCAGTGACCACTCTACCGGAAGGATGTCAATCCTGGCAGAGAATTTAGGAAATACGTATAAGATCGACGCTTTAATGTATTACCTCATTTAGTTCTTGCACTAGGCCCGCGGGTAAGAAGCATGAAGAGCCCGTGACTGCAGTTCGCTCAGTCATTCTGTACATATTAAGCACGTACCCGTCAGGCACTGTGCTGGGGATACTGCCCCTTTGGAGTTTACTAAGGAAAAGTGAGGAAGTGAGAAGATAAAATATTAGCAAGGGAACTAGGGAGAAAAGAAGGAAGGAGGGCGGAGCAGCCCGGCAGCCTGTCCCTCTCCTGGGGGGATCTATCTCCCCAACCTCCACCCCGCTCCACTCTCTCCTACCTTCTCCCCGTCCCTCCCCGCGCAGCTCCCTGCTTCTTTGGTTCCATGAGGTGGGGGGGGGGGGCGGACCGCGAGCCCTCCAAGCCTCCGCCCCCGCCGCGCAACCGGCTTGAACCCGCCCGCGCCCACCGCCCTTGGGAGCCGTGCTGCGTCCACAATGGGGAATGAAGCCAGTTACCCGGAAGAGGTGTGCTCCCACTTCAACCCCGATGAAATTAAAAGGCTAGGCAAGAGGTTTAAGAAGCTGGACTTGGACTGTTCGGGCTCTCTGAGTGTGGAAGAGTTCATGTCCCTGCCCGAGCTGCAGCAGAACCCGTTGGTGCAGCGAGTGATCGACATCTTCGACACCGACGGCAACGGAGAAGTGGACTTCAGGGAGTTCATCCTGGGAGCCTCCCAGTTCAGCGTCAGGGGGGACGAGGAGCAGAAGTTGAAGTTCGCCTTCAGCATCTACGACATTGATAAAGACGGCTACATTTCCAACGGGGAGCTCTTCCAGGTGTTGAAGCTGATGGTGGGCAACAACCTGAAGGACTGGCAGTTACAGCAGCTCGTGGACAAAACCATCATCATCCTGGATCAGGATGGAGACGGGAAAATATCCTTCGAGGAGTTCAGCGCTGCGGTCGGAGGCCTGGAGGTCCACAAGAAGTTGGTGGTGACTGTGTGAGCTTTTAAGAACATCACCCACCAACTCTTACTTCCCTTTCTGTTTCTTTTAAGATCAGCTCAAGGCAGCCTAGCAGCTGTCTCTGACTTACTTGGAAGTGTTTCTCTTTGTGAAGCCACATTTTTCTAACACGAACCTCATGACCAACTCTGTGTTGTTAATTCTTTTTCTCTCAATGATTCAGGGTAACACCCTGATTGGGGGAGACCAAGATGAAGGAGAATGGTGGGGAAAGAAAATCAAAAGGCCTTTCTAAACATCCTTTTCTGTGTTTCGATTCAGAAACCAAACTATAAAGAGTCAAGAAGAACTTTAAAAATCCAAAAATAAGAAAATATACATATCTTTGCCTTTATTCTCATAGTTTTATAGATGGGAGGAAATTGCACAATTTAAGTCAGGTGTTAGGTGAACTCTTTTCATTTACTTGTATCCAGGTTCTCTTGACAGATTATTAACTCCCTCTTACGGCAAGAGAAACAGATCTATTCCTCTTGGCTGAGCAACTTTCAGTCAGCTCTCTCTGGGCAGTGAAGGCCCATCTTTCCCGTTCCTAGGCTGCAGCCTGCTCCCCATCTTGCATCCGTAAATCCCCGAGCCCATCTGGGGGGCTCCTCCTGTCTTGTCATTCCAGATCCTGACCAGGAACTGGTCTCAGGGCTCTTACAAGAAATGCTAAGCCTGGACTAAGTGCCCAGCCCAACTCTCAGCCTTAGTGGCAGTTTTTCAGGGTGGGCTACCCATCCTGATATGAAGTTCCGTTAAGATTGCTTCCAGCCAAACAGGGCAGGGCTTCCCAGAAAGCTCTCACCTCCAAAACCCAGCCCTTCCATCACCCCCAGTTAGAGGGAAAGGGACAGATTCAGAGTCGTTCTTCCTACAGGACAAAGGCAGAGATGGGCAACTATGTCTCTGCAGCAGGGGGAAATGCCGTCTGCACTAGCTAAACTCAGTTTTAAACATCAGACCGGGGGCCTGGCAGGGAAGCTGAGAGCTCTTTCACCCCAGGAAGCCTTTTCTCTAATGGAACATTCAGCCCAGAATTCCTCACATGCTAACACCTGCAGCCAAGGTGTGTACTGGAGCCTAGTCACACTGGGCGAGGGCAATGTGTGTGCATCTCTTCCTGGCTCCATGTTTAGTGATGTCATGTTGATAGATTGAAATTGTCCATGGGAGGGACGCCTGGGTGGCTTAGTTGGTTTAAGTGTCTGCCTTCGGCTCAGGTCATGATCCCAGGGTCCTGGGATGGAGCCCCGCATCGGGCTCCTTGCTCAGCAGGGAGGCTCCTTCTCCTTCTGCCTGCTGCTCCCCCTGCTTGTGCTCTCGCTCTCTGACAAATAAAATCTTAAAAAAAAAAGAAAGAGATTGGCCATGGTGGAACTGGCACATCGTGGAAAGGAGCAAAACCTTTTCCTGTTGTCTGGTTTGGAGAACCCGTGTACCAGTAAGTATACCACTGCCTATACTCCAGATGTTACCAGCTCTCCGAAGCCCCACGTACCGTCAGTCCTCAGAAAACCAGCTGCCCTTGGCCCCAGCCCTTGCCACTTCACACCAGCCCTCTTCCTTATGGTGGACCACTGCTGAAGGCTCCCCAAACACCAGGACAATGAAACCTACTTCCCTACACAGGACCAAACTCAGGTGGTTTTTCTCAGGAAGAGGAAGATCCGTTTGAAAGATATTATTATCCTTCTATTTTGAAGAAGCCAGTCGCTAGTCTTAAAAAAACAAAAGTAGGAAAAATAAGTCCACACATTAAATTACTGTCAGGGCACTCATCTACCAAGGCTCCCTGCCATACTTTTTATTTAGTAGATTATTAAGGAACCACAAAAAAATAGGAATCTCTGTCCCTTTAAATCCTGTGCAGTCCCCAAAAATGTATTAATAATAAATGGTCCCAAACCTGTAGTGATATGAGTCATAGCCCCATTGCAGGATAACATCGTTGAAAGATTCAGACACACCCGGGTTTGGAGTGTGTCTTTACACACTCCAGCTCCAATTTACAACTGGGTTCTTAGGAGTCATTTATTAGCTGTGTGAGCATGAGCAAGTTACTTAACCTCACAGTATCAGTTCTCCTAATTAAAACAAGGAGCCATTGTGCGGTTATTTTGGGGATTCAAAAATATAAAACATTTAAGAGGTAGCTGGCTGGCTGGCTGGCTTGGTTGGCAGAGCATGCAGCTTAGCTACACCACTCTAAAATTAACTGGATGTTTGTGTAATCCTAATCCAGAAAAGAAACAGTGTCATAGTCCTCCCCACCCCCTCATTTGCAGAAGGAACAATAGACTTCTTGATTAGAGAAAGTTTAAAAGAAAGACTCTTGGGCAGCCTGGGTGGGTCAGTCAGTTAAGCATCTGCCTTCGGCTCATGATCCTGGGGTCCTGGGATCAAGTCCCGCATCAGGCTCCTTGCAGCGGGGAGCCTCCTGTTCCCCCGGCTTGTGCTCTCTCTCTCTGACAAATAAATCTTTAAAAGTCTTTTTAAAAAAATAAATAAAAGAAACACTCTCATTCTAGCCCAACCTATTTGACTTTGTGGAGGAAACTGTGCAAGAGGAAAGCGAGCATGTGTAGTGCTGGCCGAGAAGGCCTCCCAGAGACATTTTTTGTATACCCTGCAATGTACACATTAAAATATGGAAATTTAAAAAATACGACCAAGGGTTTGAAACATGTTGGATTGCATGTTTAAATTTAACAAGAGGAGGAAAAATATTTCAGCTTCTGGAATGGCTGGAAATAACAAATTAATTGCTTGATCAATCTACTTAACGTAGTTACCCAGAGCTTTATGGCAATGACCTTGAACTGAGAGCCTGTTTCCAGTTTCAGCAACTGGAAAGATCTGACTGTATGGATATTTGGGAAGAAAGATCACATTTACTTCCAAGTTAGAATGCTCTGATTTTTCTGTTAGTTGCTGGTTGCCAACAAATGTAGTTCTGTACAACTCCTTGGGTGATGATGGTAGTTAATGTTTATTGAACCACTGTTCCAGATTCTGTTGAAGTTGTTACAGCATTTAATCGTAATAACACTGTGAAGTAGGTGCCATCATTCAGTTTAATACATGATGCTATAGAGAGATCTAGAATCTTCTCTAAGATCTCCCAGCTGGTAAGTGGCAAAGGAAGAACTTGAACCAGGCCTCTTCTTTTTTTTCTTAAGATTTATTCATTTGGGAGAGAGTGTGCACCCAGTGTGGGGAGGGGCAGAGGGATAGAATCTTCAAGCAGATCCCCCCCACCAAGTGCAGAGCCTGTGGGGCTTGATCCCACTACCCATGAGATCACTACTGGAGCTGAAACCAACAGCCAGATGCTTAACTGTGACTGAGCCACCCAGGTGCCCCTGAACCAGGCTTTCTGACCCCAGATGCTGAGCTCACTGCATTACCTCTTATTTTTATGGTTCCTATATTTACCTGCTTCAAAATATTTCTGATGGTTTTATTAATATAATCAAATCAAACCTCAGTTTCCAGAAAACAGGTGAATTATGTGTCAGGGAGCAAGCAGCCCCTACCTCTTTGGTTCTACATATTGCAAAAAAAAAAAAAAACAGTTAAGCAAGGCAGTCTTAAGTCACCTTCCACCTTCATCTCATTTTGAAAAATAAGTGACAGTATTTAGATTAAACTGATAACAGCAACCAATACAGTTCCAGGCTGTAGAGATCAGTAACAGTATGTTGTTAGGAATCCTATTAATATTAATGGATTGTATCTGCTCTCTATGTTGCAACCCCAAACCACTAGACACTTCTTTTTTTTGAAACATAGGAGAAAATATGGCTGCAGCACTGTTGGTTTATCCTCTAAGTCTATCATGCTTTAGAGGTGTTCTCAGGGAAAAACCTCTCAGGAAATTTTTTTTTTGCTTAGTTACAAACTCTGTTCTTCACTCATGCTGTTGATTCCCTTTGTTAGCATGTAGGAGGTCATTGATCTGGCTACTGTGTTTTACCTATTTTGCTTGCCTTGAAAAGGGAAAGGCTTGGGTGTTTTTAAAGACAAGGTGGCCACCGTAATAGGCCCCTAGACTGAGAATCAGAACTGGACCCCCCTCCTTTCATATTGGCTACCGTAGCTATCCCCAAGGCTGGTGACTGTGTGACTAGCAGCAAATCATGTGTCCGCTTTAAAGGCATTAGCTGATTCACAGTGAAAACCCACAACACTGAAGGGACACTAGCAGCAAGACAGCTGTGTACATTAAAAGATACAGTCTGACAGCTCATAGGCTTACTCTGACCCACCGGTACATTTTTTGTTGTTGTTAGTTTTACATGATGTTTGTGCTCACAATTTTTTTATTTGCCAATATTTTTAAAATCTGAAGATCTTAAATCAAAATCAAAATGAGCATAAAGGAGTGCATGCTACCCCAAGATGAGAGTGCCCTTTTATTGGCTAAGGTACCTCTGAAGCATGGGGCTAAAATGGAAAGGCTCAACGAAGAGAAAATAACGTGCTCCACTCTTTAGTACAAACATTCGAGATGCCTAAAATGTTCATTATTTTTCAAAAATAAAGCTACTGGTCATAAAACACTTATCCCAACAACGTATATTTTCTAACAGCTGAAACAATACACAGGTTTACCATAGTCAAAACAAATACAGCCATATAAAATTTCAAACTTCCACATCATAAAATCTAACAAAAGCTAATGGTAAAGCTTAAAATTAGAGAAACAGAAATAGCATGTAGGAAAGAGGTTAATAGCTTTTTTTTTTCAATAAAAAGCCTCACCTTGTTTGAAATGCATAATTGGCAAAGGATGTAAATATATGACTCATACAAAAGGAGATGGGAAAAACAAACATCAAAAAATAGCCTCTCTAAGTAAATACAAATCAAAATGTTTAAAACCAGGAAAATGGGGCTCCTGGGTGGCTCAGTCATTAAGCGTCTGCCTTCGGCTCAGGTCATGATCCCAGGGTCCTGGGATCGAGCCCTGCGTCTGGCTCCCTGCTCCGCGTCTGGCTCCCTGCTCCGTGGGAAGCCTGCTTCTCCCTCTCCCATTCCCCCTGCTTGTGTTCCCTCTCTCGCTGTGTCGCTCTCTGTCAAATAAATAAAATCTTTAAAAAAAAATAAAACCAGGAAAGTAATTACATGTAAAACAGGCTT